GATGTAACTACATCCCAATTTTTTTTTTTTTTAATGCATAATTTTAACTAGATGTAGTTACGCATCTGATTTTTTTCGGATGTAACTACTTGCGCCAAAAAAAAATTATCATAATGCATTATTTTAACCAGATGTAGATACACATCTGATTTTTTTCGGATGTAACTATATCCGCCAAAAAAAAATATTATAATGCATTATTTTAAGCACAAAAAATTTATATTTTTAATTATTTGACTGCCTGCCCAAACCAAACCCTCAGTCGATGTAGCAGCGCTCCGTTGCAAGTCAGGCTATTTGTCAATCGATGTAGCAGCACTTTTATAATATAATAATTATATATATAACTACATAGGGAATTTTATTTTTAATGTATAAGTTTAACCAAACTTTAACACATCTGATTTTTTTTGAATGTAGCTACATCCGGGAAAAAAGTAATTTAAAAATGCATTATTTTAACCAGATGTAATTACACATCTGATTATTTTTAGATCTAACTACGTCCAGAAATTTATTTTATTTTATTTTTTATATTATTTTTAATAATGCATTATTTGAGGCGGATGTAGTTACACATCGAGAAAAGCTCTCGGATGTAGTTACATCTTTCTAAAGATGTTATTAGACATCAATAAAATTTCGGATGTTGTTGCACAGATGTTTATTCAGTAAAGAAAAAAAGCGAATGATCTTACACAAAAATGTGCGGATATTATTTCACTACTCCACGGATGTTGTTAAACAGATTTAGTAATCTTTTCCCAGCTGAAATACTAATTTTGTTATTTTATAACAGACGAATCCCACTCTTCATTAAAGATTTTAGGGGCCATCCATAAAGGATGTCATCCAAATAGGGGAGGGGGGAGTAGGTTGAGTTAAAAAGGACAAAAAAGGACAAGGGGAGGGGGGAGGTTGTCAGAAAAGGACATCACTTTATAGAGGGGGTCAAAAATTGCCTAAAAAAAGGTAACGTCCTATATGGATGGCCCCTTAGTACTTTTAAAAGGTCAGTTTACCTAGTCGAGAAGGAATAAATGTACCCGGTAGCCTGAATAGTTCAGTTGATAGCCGGGATTGCTCAGTTGGTTTAAACGCTGCAATAACTTTTTATAATTTATAGTATAATTTTTAATTATATATTTAAATAGAATGACGCTTGCGAACGAATTTAACTCACGTGTGTCACAAACAAAAACTTTTTATTCTAAAAAATTAGAAAAGATTAAAAAACGAATTCCTGCCATACTTTTACATATGCTAAGAATATTTTTTATTATTATAAACTGCAATTTATAACTTTTACTTTAAAAATCAAGAATAAAACACACATTTAAAAAAAAAAATGCTACTAAAATTACGAAATCACCTTCAAAGACATTTTTATTTGAAGAAAAAGTGTTAGAAAAACTTTTTGAACCACAGTTTGCCACAAATGAGGAAATTATTCTTTATTTTCATTACAGGTATGAATAACACGGCTGTTTCAAACCGAGCTTAATGGCTTCTTGTTATTTTTTGAAAATATTGACTTAAGGGGTGTTACTAAACCTTCTATAACTTTTAAAATATTAAAAATAATTTTGTTTTGTAAAAAGAATAAACACACTAATAATATGTTTCATCTTATGACATTTAATGCATTAGTAAAAACACTTCTTTAAGTTTAAAAAAAACGCGACAAATGATAAAGTTGGCTGAATTCAAGTAATTTGATGTTACTTTTTATCAAAAGAAAAATCAGAAAAATTTATTTCTGATAGTTATTCTCAAATATACCCATTGTTTGACTATTATAAAAACAAAAAAATCTTACTTAATTGTTTAAGGATAGCTAAAACAGGCTTTATTGAGGTCTGAAAGCAAACCGCACTTTTCGCAAAGTTATGAAAAATGTAGTCAAAAGGGGGATTAGCTGTTAAAAGAGTTTTAAACCTAGGAGTTCTTGTTTTAGAAACTTGTTTTCCTAAGCCAATAAATTCATTGCATTTCAAAATAAAGCTAGATTTCGATTTTGGAATATTTAGTCAAAACATTTAAAGCTTAAGCATTTGTTTTTTTCTGTGCATACAGTTCTAATAATATGGTGTTAAATTGTTAATAAATAAAGACTCACCAAGTCTAATAAAATAATTCATGACCAAATTTGAGTTTAAGTTTTTGAATTAACCACGCTTTTGGTAGTAGAATTATTTTATAGCACTTGAATCTATAGTCTCTTCTCTCAGTAAATAAAGTGTTTGAATATACAAATAGCTAATTGAAATCTTTTGAAAATTTGTTTTTATTCCCATTAAAAACTGTTTAATAATCAGTTGGTTTACTGATAGGTTCTTTAAGTAGTAAACTATCTTTGTACATCCAATTTTGTACATCTAGTTGATATCAGATTCATACTCATGCTAAACCAGAAAAACAATTGCTTCACTCAAAATTTTGATAACGTTTATAAATTCTAAATTTGTTGAACTAAATTTTTACACCAACTTGTATGAGATTTATATTCCATTCTTTAACCAGCGAGGAGGTGTGTAGAGCAGAGGTACTTCAAAGGTAGAACTAACTTCTGGTGATAAACATCGAATGGATATGTAAAATATCTATAAAAAAATGTTACATATATTGAAGGACAATACATTTATTAAATTAAATACACAAACATACAAGATCATACCCAACCAACATACCAGTTGCTCTGATCACAAGTTAATATATAAAAGTTAGATTTTTACATGCATTTGATGCAAGACTAGTATTCCATTCTTTAACTTGAGCGAAGGTATTGCATAGGTATAAATAACTTCTGAAGACAGGAACAGAATGGGCACCTACCTAATATATAAAATCAATATATTAAAAAATAATATTTTAAACTAACATTACACAGATATTAGAACAGAATAAAATTATCTTATATATAAATTAAAGATCTCATATAATTTATCTTACTTGTTAATAGTTTTTTTTTTTTTGTTGCTGTTATTAATTTTTTAAATATTTTAACCAAATTTGATGACCACAAACAAGACAAAGACCTGTCTATAAAATGAATTTTCGCCACGCTCAGAACACACAACACACTTTCTCACCTTAGAGGCTTGAAGCTTCCTATCAGCTTTGCTGTGCAATTTAAAGCGTTTTAATTAAAACATTAAACTGATTATAAGTTATCATTCAATATATTAACCAAGTAATTTAATTTCAGTTTGAAAAACGAAATATATAAAATTTAAATTTAATCTAAATAACTCAGGCGTCTGTTAGACAAAAATACTCCAACCAAAATTTTGATTGGTTGTACTTCCCAAGATAAAATGATGTCAGCATGCTTTGAACTAGCAATATGTCCTCAGAACTGCATCCTATTTGTTATAAAGAAGCTGTGGATTAATAGAGGATATGAAGGCGTCATATACTCCATTAACCCACGGTTAATCCTCCAGATTGTGATATTTAACATTTATTGAGCAACAAAAGGATCAAACTGAGAAAATTTAGTTTTTATCATCAGAATAAAGTGAGGTCTCAACTTGCCAGGATTCCGTCTATTCAGCAGAGATCAATTCAGGAATTTGAAAAAGTTCAAACTACGGAGAGTGGCAAAAAAAAGGACGCTGACAAAGCATAGTTTGGAGAATATTTATTCAATTCTTCACCAAAAATACGAAGAAATGTTTTTTGATTTATAGTTTTACAAACTGTTTTCGAAAAAAAAAATTCTTGATTATTTACTAATTTATCACTGTTGACCTTAACGATATTGTTATAAATTTTTTTTAGCTGAAAATTTATTATTTTACCTTAGCTTTTATTAAAACGCTTATTTTGCAGCCCTTATATGAAAATCTAATTTTTAAAATCAAACTATATATAAAAATAAAATTTTAAGGTAGATGGTACATAAATATTCTGTAAAAAAAAGTAAAATAGATGGAGGAGGGGGTGTGAAAGAAACGAAGAATCCGCCACCCACCGCTAACCTCCTATAAGGGGTCTTTTTATTAGAAATTAATTTTTAAAATGAATTTGGGATCAAATTAATCTTTGTAAACAAGAATTTGATAAAATTGGTCAAATTAAAAATGGTCAACAGATATATCCTTAAATTTAGCTAAATATACCTTAGTACGTTTCGTACATTTTTACAGAGTCAAACCAATGCACTTTTTAAAAACTTGTAAGTAAAAGTATGGTACGAATTCGTTATAGTTCGAAATAAAAAAATTATTTTTGTTTCTAACACACGTGAGTTAAATTCGTTCGCAAGCGTCATTCTATTTAAATATACTTAAAAATTATACTATAAATTATAAAAAGTTATTGCGTTTTGAGCTATTTTTCGTGACCTAAATTAATATATATTTTTTTATTGTAAACTTCCCAGCCAATTCCAAATTAATATTTAGAACTTTTAGAGTTCATAGAAAAAAAAACTGGTGTTTTATATCAATGTTTAAGGTCCTCGCTCTTTGGTTAAAAAAGTTGGGGTTTCGGGGCACAAATTGTAAAAGCGGGGACCTTGAAAATGGGTTTCAAAAATTTTTTTTGAGCGTAAAATCATTTTTATCCAACCGGTCAACTAATCAAGGTGGTTGGGATTTAGTTTGAAAAAATTGTTGAAAAATGACGTACCCTAACATATATATATTTATTTATTTGTTTATATATATATATATATATATATATATATATATATATATATATATATATTAGGGTAGGTCACTTTTGAAAAATTTTTGAATTTAGGTTCAGCTGGGCATTTTTCTTATGTCTTTGCCCGTATGATAATGAGAAACAAATTTCTTTTTATTTGCATTTAATGTTTAGTCAGGTAATTTTTAGACTGAAAATTTAAGTTTTATCATAAATATATCGTTTATGCGAAGTTATGAAAAATGGTTTGCTACGACTCAATAAAATAAAGTCTAAAAAGATTCCTGAGCCTTAGTTAACCTAGTTACATCAACAATATATTAAAGTTACATCAAAAATTAAAATTTTATGGTATATTAAGTCTATACACGTAATAAGACATTAAAATATTGATAACAGCATTTTCCGCATATTTTTCTAAAATAAATTGTTTACTCATAATAAAAAGTTAAAATACTGATTACAAAATTTTCATCAGATCTTATTTTGATTGGCACACAGGCTCTATGAGCCATTGTAGCCCTTATGGACCCATATCTTCTCTCGGCACCAAGCACCGACATTGAAGCCCTGGTTACCTCTTTCACAATGCGTTCAATAGATTGACCGTGAATTGGGAAGTTTGGTACAACCATTGGATTATTAATAAACTGTATAATATCATCTCTAATCAAACAAGTAAGAACCGGTTCACTGATCTCCTCTGTTTCCCAATTGATTAAATCTATTAGATTATTTGATTCAGTTTTTATCACTGGTATTCTTCTAATCCTGCATTTTCTGTCTCTAACATCCTTATTTTTTCTAAAATCAATTATTTTTTGCACTGCAAATCTCCTTTCTCCTTCATCTGAACTACAGAACATTGTCTGAAGAATACATTCACTGTGTGCATTCCAGGCAGAGGAGCAGACATGCGGTAATACAATATCCTTCACAAACTTGTTCTGTTTTTTTACCAAGGCTAGTTGCTTAAGGATATGATGTGGACCTTGAATCCAGCTATGTTTAGTCTAAAGTCAAGTACTTTTCTTTAGCATAATCACTATTGTTTTACAATTATTAAAGTAAATTATAGTATTTAAGTAAAATATTGTATTATATCTTTATTTACATAATTAAGTTTCTTACCTTAAGATCAAACCACATAATCGAATAAACACCCATGATTAACTCTGTTAACAATTTCAAGTTTTGTAGATCTTTGTTTTTTAAACAATGCTCTGAGCACCAGATTCGAAGTAGTCTATTTGCGAGATTTAACCACCTTGAATGATTGTGTGGACCAATTTGAATCTCCTTCAAGTCATCAGGAAAAACACCTGATGCTACTGCATTATGTATTCTGTATAAATACTTCTGATCTGTAGACAGTGAATCTACAACTTCTTTCTCGAGATGAATTAGATCTACAACAAAATCAAGCTGAGGGATGCATGTCAAAATAGGAAGATTTGTTGCTATGTTAATAAGTTTTCCAATGTTTCCTGAGAATCTATTTTCAGATAAAAATTTTCCATCTAAAGCTAACATTAAATGCCTAAGTGGCAATTCATTGGTATGTAGCGCACAAATAATCCAGATAAGTTTGAATCCTAGTTTTTTTCTCTAAAAATTGAATAATTCCACCCTTCCAACTTAAAATAAATTTTTATTTTCAGTAAAAAAAAAAAATAAGTACATAAAATTTTTAACAATCATTTAAAGAAATAAAAATAAAACCTGTGTTAAGGTTGGTTGAATCTCCTCCAATTGCAATTAATTGGTTTTCAATGCCATGTGCTATTGTCCAATCATATAATTGTTCAGCAATATGTTCAGCAGGTGTTCAAGCTTCTCTCTCCTCTGAATTATTTACAAAGTGGAATAAATATTTTCCACTAGGTTCAGAACAGACATTATAATGATCTTCTTTGATCTCCCTAGGATAAGATTTACCATCATTGCCATATACAATTGTTTTAGTAAGTTCTTTTCTACCATCAAAAATAATACATTGTATGCCCTCTTTCTTAACTTCATTATTATGTCTCTCTTTACAGACATTCATTACTCTTTGCTTTGATCTCTCAATTTTTTTATGATCTAGAGCTAGGTGTTTATCAAGTATATGATCTTTAAAAAAACCTGCATCTTTGGCTGCTTTTAATAATGCAGTGCCTATTGATGCAGTTGCTCTGTTACTTGTACCAAATTGTAATGCTGACAAAGCGATATGATTTACATTTAAAGTATTTAGCTGAGAAACTTTTTTTATTTCTGGTAAATAAAGATTGTCATTATAATCATTCTCAGCATTGTTTGACTCCACATCATTTTGAGATAATACTTCAGAATACTGTACAGTCTCAATCCTATCTCTCTTTGATTTGTTCTGCTTTCTTTGATGGTATTTTTTTTTTGTCTGGATACTTCTTTTTTATCAACTGAACTTATTTGCATTCCACTTTTAGAACCAACTTTATCCCTCTGTGAGTTTAAAAATTAAAGTTCAATAATAGGAACTTTATTTTCCTGAGAACATTTGCAAACAATATGAAAAACTTGGTTGCAGCCATAACAATCGGATTTTTCGCATGATTTTATTGAACATTTACACTTAGCTATGTCAAACAGTTTATCTAAGATTAATTTATGATCAGAAAGTTGCTTAGATGTTCCCTTACCTAACGCCAGATTATATGCTTTTTTCCAGTCATATATGATTCTTTCTTTTCCTCTTTTATCAGAGATAATGGGTATAAGTGGATAGGCTTTTTGCCATAAATATTTTACTGAGGTCCACAATTTTTCAGAAGTTAGCCTTAAATTTTGGTTATTTTCTTCAATCCTTCTAAGAAAGAGACCATATCTTAAAACATCTCTTAAAGTTGGTAGTTCTGACTCTAATAATGTTTTTCCTGTACCAATTAGCTTTGTTAATTTACATTTAACTTTATCACGAGTGTTTTGAGCCATTCTTTATAACTGTAAACTTATTTTTATACAATAAATACATGCGTTATTATTTCTTCCTTTTAATAACTAATAAAACTGCTACTAGTGGTCCGACTTTAGCGTACATAAACAAATTTTCAGAAATACGTCATCAATACATTTTAAAAAATTAACTGTTACCCATTTCTATGGTAAAATAGCCCCCTTAGTTGCAATATTTTAGGATCATATTTTGACATTTTTATTGATAAAATAGGTGTAGTTTAAGACATTTATTGATTTAAAATGGTTTGAAGATGGCAAAAGTAAAAAAATTGACAAAACTCTGGGTAAATTATATATTTATGATAAAACTAAAATTTTCAAGCTGAAAATTACCTGACTAAACATTAAATGCAAATAAAAAGAGAACTGGTTCTCATTATCATACCGTCAAAGACATAAGAAAAATGCCCAGCCGAACCTAAATTCAAAAATATTTCAAAAGTGACCCACCCTAATATATATATATATACATATATATATATATATATATATATATATATATATATATATATATATATATATATATATATATATATATATATATATATATATATATATATATATATATATATATTTATATATATTTATATATATATACATATATATATATATATATATATATATATATATATTTATATATATATATATATATATATATATATATATATATATATATATATATATATATATATATATATATATATATATATATATATATATATATATATATATATATATATATATATATATATATATATATATATATATATATATATATGTATATATATATAAATATATATATATATATATATATATATATATATATATATATATATATTGTATATATATATATATATATATATATATATATATATATATATATATATATATATATATAGAACCTAAATTCAAAAATATATATATATATATATATATATATATATATATATACATATATATATGTATATATATATATATATATATATATATATATATATATATATATATATATATATATATATATATATATTATAATTTTTAATTTTTAAAAGGCGCTCGGCGATAAAGTTAAATGTGCCTTCTTTTTTTTTTGCTAATACCAAAGTATTACTCATACGCTGAGCAGGGGGAGCCGAGATTTGAATCTACAATCCTGCTGCAGTTAATAATTTTAACCAACTGAGCTATCCCGCTATGAACTGAGCTATCCTGGCAATCCGCAAGTTACTAACAATATATATAGGTAGCAAGATCTAGAAGAAGACTATGTGTCTTATTGCCAAGCCCCTTGTTAAATTCCGTAAATATAAAGTTCAATTTAAAAATAATTTTGTTAACTTTTAAAAAATTTTTTTAACTTTTTAAAATCCTAACCCTAACCCTGATTTTTCACTAAAATTAGACATTGTCCCAAATAAACTAAAAATTGCCCGAGTCACCCTTATTTTTAAATCTGGAGATGATTTTGATACTAATAATTATAGACCTTTATTAGTTTTACCATGTTTTTCTAAATTACTAGAACGCGTCATGTATAATAGACTTAACAATTATTTGACAGAAAACAATTTTTTATACGGTAAACAATTTGGATTTAAAAAAAACCACTCAACTGACCATGCTATAATTGAGCTAGTTAATCAAATATCTAATGCTTTTAGTAATGATTGCTTTACGTTAGAAGTTTTTATTGATCTTTTTAAAGCTTTTGACACCGTAAATCACGACATTTTTGTAAAAAAACATGAAGTGTGTGGAGTAAAAAATAATAATAAAAATAATAACTTTGGTTTAAAGATTATTTATCAAACCAAAAGGAATATATTCAGTATGAAACAACAAATAGCGCCATAATTTGCGGGGTTCCCCAAGTCTTGATCTTGGGACCATTATTATTTTTAGTCTATATAAATGATTTATATTCAACATAAAACTTATTAAATTTAATCTTGTTTGCGGTTGACTCCAATTTGTTTTATTCACATAGAGACATTAAGACTTTTTTTAACATAGTTAACAAAGAATTACATAAAATAAACGATTGGTTCAGGTGTAACAAACTCTCTTTGTATGTCAAAAAAACCAAATTCATCCTATTTCATAAACCAATTAATAACAAAAATATTCCTCTCAAACTACCTGATCTGAAAATATATAATACTTTAATAAAAAAAAGAAACTTTCATAATCTTTCTAGGTGTGATCTTGGATAAAAATTTGTCGCGGAAGCTCCAAAAAAACACTTTAGAGAGAAAACTCTCAAGAAATAATTCATTTATGTATAAAGCAAAACCTTTCCTAAATATCATTTTCTTAAAAAGTTTATACTTTTCATTAGTACATAGTCGCCAAAGCTATGGTAACAATCCTGGGCAAGCACAAATTATACTTAGCTTAAAAAACTCTACAGTAAACAAAAACATGCCTGTAGAATTGTCTTTGGAGTAAGTAAAAAAGTGTCTTGTGAACCTCTCTTATGCAAACTTGGAGCATTGATCATATACAAAATTAACATACATCTTGTTTTACAGCTTATGTACAAAATAAAATCTCCACCCATATTTCAACCCTATTTTAGCAAAATAAGTTATAAATACCCTACTAAATTCTCATATAACAATTTTGTCATCCGAAAATTTACATTAAAGTTAAATTCATACTCAATCAAACAATGCGGACTTTATTTGTGGAAAATTTTTCTCCAGATTGTTACTATCAAAAGAAATACACTTGAACAGTTTAAATCTGAATCAAAGCGTTTTTTATTATCTACGGACTTAAATTTTCTTTTTCTTTTTTAGTAAAAAAATATAAACTTGCACAATTTATTTATTTTTATTTGCTTTAACTTTTACTTGTTCTAAATTTATTACACAAAGCAATTTTATATTTAAACAGTTATATCAATTGTAAAAGGTAGTTTTACACATTTTTACATATTTTATCACAAACAATTTATCACGATTATATACTTTATTGTAAAAAACGACGATAGTAACGAAGTCACAATGGGGCTCGGTGATAAGAAACTGATGTCTCCAGCCATTTGTTTTATTACTTATGTTATTTTATAAATTGTAACTTCCTACGGCAAAATTAAAATATAAAATAAAAAATAGATAAATAAAAAATAAAATAAACATATGTAAAAGTGGTAAATTAATAAATAAAATATCTATTATTAAAAAAATAGCAAAAAGCGCTATTGTTTTAAACATATGCTTCTGCACAGATACATTTAACTTTTATTTATAAAAAATCATGCATTTAAGTTGTTTTTTTAACATTAAACTTTAAAACACAAAGCAAAAGTCTAAGGGATCAAAAAATAAAGAGTATGTCAACACATATCAAACAAAGACGTAAATAAATTTAAAAAGTTACAAAGTGCATTTAACTCAATATTTTCTAAAGTCAAAATACATTTCATTCATGTAATAGATCAGTCATAAAGGTATATTGCAATTTCAGAAATAGTTTTGTGGAAAATCATTATTCAGTAATAACCAAGTTAGTAATTACTTAGCTTTTAGTAATAATTAAGTAAACCAAGTTAGTAATTACTTAGCTTTTAGTAATAACTAAGCTTAACTCTTTTATAATAACTAAGCTTTGAAATCATTAAACATTTTTAGAGTTTAAAGTTTAGTTGCAAGTATTTTATTCCATAATTGAAATTTATAAAA